TTTTGATATCCCTATAGGGCTTTTACTCCATAAACAATGTGTCACACAATGCATTTTTGATCATTAATTACAATAAAAATAAAGAATTTATTAGCTCTTAGTTAATTTAAAATATAATAAAAACAATATCTCTAAATCAATAGAGATCATCCTTTTTAAGAAGCTAGATGTTTGGTCTTACTTTTGTCAAATTAATGCTTAAGAAAATAGCTTCAAATAGAATTTTATTTGCACTTATGAAGTAACAAAGTAGATAGAGGGTATAATAATGCGTAATGACTACCTTGAAGATGTGGGCTGCTTTGGGAGAGTTGAATTTTGCCACAAATAACTGTCATTACCTTCAAGATAACAGTTTGTCTTAACATTAATGGCAGTTTGTCCTGCTTTTAAGTGCTTTGGAAATGCCACTGTATTTCATAAGTGCAGTTTGTCACAGACATGCTCAGCAATAAAATTCATAGTATTTGTATTGATCATGGAGTATACCTGTATATAAAGAAAATTTGTCCTTTAATTTCCTTTTTTATGCATCAGACAGCAAAAAAAGCACAAGATAGTTAAATTAAACGGGTAAAGCTTATCTAAATAAAATAAATGAAACATTTATTCAATTGTGATTAACTGTTAAATTCTATAATTACGGCATTCTAGAATATTTAGTCAAAGTTTATTAGAACAGTGGGACAGTGGGGTGACATTAAAGACATTTATAATGCTAAGATTTCTATTTCAAACGCAGTTCTTTTCAACTTTCCATTCATTATAGAATCCTAAAAAAACAAGGTATCACAGTTTCCATAAAAAATATTAAGCACTACCTGTTTTCAACATTGATAATAAGAAGGAATGTTTCTGAGAAGCAAAACAGCATAAGAATGATTTCTGAAGGCTCATGTTACACTAAATTCTGGGGTAATGATGCTGAAAATTCAGCTTTGCCAATCACAGCAAAAATGTATTTTAATAATAATAATAAACCACTTTTAAATTGTAATAATATTTTACATTATTTTTGTTTTTTGGATCAAATAAATGCAGCCTTGATCAGAATAAGTAATTTTAAAAAAAAATCATTAACAGTGCCAAATGTTTTACTAGTAATTTATACCACCTTTGCAAGCATTTTTATATATTAAAAGGCAAGCTACTGTTTTTCTAATAACCACACACACAATACAGCTGTCAGTTTAATCCCACAGAGGCAGATTATGAACTCAATTAGATTTATGTGAACTAAAACTCAAAATATGTAGTTAAAAATATTATATTAAATGCAAATATTAAATATTATATTTAAAATGGAGTTAACTGTCAGGCTGATGATATAGTATTAACACATTAGACTTGACTACAGCATGTTCATTTAGATGTTACTACACAAATCACATTTTAAATGCTTTATGCAGTGTGCTTTCTTTAGTAATGCTCAAACTAACGAGTCCCCTTTGGCAGTCCATCACCTCCAAACTTAAGCGTCTCCCTCGTTTGCTAATTAGAGCTTCAGGTCTTTCCCGATTCACTCTTTCCCAGGTGTGGGGTTCACTGTGGATGCCTCTCACCACGGAAACCAGACTTGGATTGCCCAGAGGCCAGCACACCTCTTATTACTCATCTTAGAGCAATCCTCAAACAATACACGGCCGCATTTCCCAATGTACTGCTGGTAAATACAAATTAAATTTGTGATAGCATGCTTTCCATTTCAAATGTCTAACTAACTGTCTGACATGTATAATTGTCTGTGTAGTTGTTAGATATAGGATGATCTGATGGTTTCAGCTGTGGATCTCGGAGGAGGGCCGTCAACTGTACTTTGCTCTGGATGTCTTGGGAATATATGTCACTATAGTGTTAAGATTGTATTCCCAACCCCATTCATTCTAGAAACTGAAGTCTGGCTTAACCAGCCCTCTCGGGACTCTGCAATGGAGAAAAAACTACTTTCACTGTTTGAAGTATAAATTGATTTTTGAGTCATAGAATGCATTTACTTTGGTTACATTCTTTAAAACTGCTTAAGATACATTTATGTCTATGGCACAAACATGCAGGAAGAGTCACGACATGCCAAAGCTTAAAGGGTAGTTCATGTAAAAATTTTAATTCTGTCATCATTTACTCAACCTTGTGTTGTCCAAATGCATGATTAATTTTAACACAAAAGAACATGACTGAAAAATAGTTTAAGCTGTTTTCACCCATACAATGCACTTTTATGGGATCCAAAGGTTTCAAACTCCAAAACAAAGCCTGAATGGCAATTCATTACTGTACTACTGTATTTTACGTTTTGGCATATTGATAGCTAATTCATATGAATTTGTACGATCTCATTTGCACACCCCACTGACATTTAGGTTTAGGGTTTGACCTTCATGCTTACATTTCTATACAAAGAAATCACACTGTACAAATGCAAAATTGCCACTTTGTAAAATAGTTGTGTTTTCTCTAGAGATTGGGTTGGTAACATAAAAGTTATCCACACAATTCCAGTGGTTTTATTTATAATTGAATTCACTCGTCAGATATGGCAGTGCTTCAAACCTCATTAATTCTTGAGGGTCACGTGACTTAACATAATGACATCATGAGATAAGCACCATGAGGTTTAATTATTCGACAAGCCGCCATATTTGATTTGAGCTCTGCATAATGGAACTGATTGATTTGATTTGAATTGAAAGCAAATAATCACTTAAATGTTTCCCTGTTTCTCAGACTAACAGAATTTTCCACTTTAGAGCATGAAGACTTAAAGCATCAGGCGACAAAACTGACGCTCCCCCTATAATAAACAGAATATTATTGTCGCTTAGTGTGGGCATCAATATATAATTATAGCTATCGTAATCATTGTTACCTTTCTTGATATGAATGTGCTTTAACACATTATGTTGAGGAAAGACCTTTTTCTTATCAGGAACCTGAAGTTGTTGATGGGTCTTCAGATAAGTTTATTTGTTCTAAGCATCATCTGTTATTAAGGAAAAGTGAAGCCCTGGCATTATAACATCTTACAGATATTCAACTATATGGCATATAAAAATGAAAAAATGATCTCTTTTTCAGGCTGTAAGACCCTTGCTAAGTTTAAATATACATGTGATTTAGTTTACTTTTAGCTCATTTCCAGTTTCTGCAATAGTGTTCATGCTGTGTTTTGTGGAAGAAATAATCAAAATCTTTCAAGAGGCCCACAGCTCAAGATTAATTATCCTCCTCTGATTAATTACGTCATTTTCTGTAGGAAGGATTGTTCTCTGCTGTTTTGCTGTTTCTGCGCTCAGTCGACTTTTTTTCTGGGTTCTCGATGCAACAGCAGTGAAATTCAGCAGCACTTTAGACTTTATTTTCAGACAGAAGTTGCCATCATCATAGGGCACATCCCAATATAGTTGGGATGATATGATGTCTTCATAACCATATTTAACATAATCACTCATAAAGTCATGTAACAGTGGTGTGGTTTACATTCAGGGGGCTGTAATTTCCATCCATTAATGTTCAGCAAATTTAACACAAAATCTAACACAGGTCATATTTGGACTGTATGGTGAGAATATGTTTTGCGTTATAGTCTATTAATCATTTTCACTATTTTCACAGCTTCTCGTTACTGCCAACCAATATGCTGTTTGTTCGCCTAAACCATTTTCCAAACCCCCTTCATATGTTTTCTAATAGACTCATCCTCTTCTTTAAAACCAAGCCAAACCCGCTAATCATGCGATCAGGCCAGTGCTCCGAGCCACGCATGCCTTTGCACATGGCAGGGCAAATTAGAGTGTCTCCAGCAGTCTGGATCTCTAATTCAGCAGCAGCAGGCCTTCATCTGTCCCCTGAATTACAGCTCAACGCGTCCCGCTGCGCATTCCGCTCGGCCCGGCCCTGCGGCGCTCTCACAGAGAGACTGCAGCTCAGGGAAAAACACGGAACGAGCATGCAGACCACATGAGATCAATGAGACACAACCTGTGGTAAACACCTTTGAATTAACCATGTGGCAGTGAGGCAAAATGGGTAATTCACATCACGGCAGTGTAACCCATAGGTCAGGCATGGTTTGAAGTTTTGAAGGTTTGAAGACGTTTGTAGGATTTGGAAATTTTGCGTCTATCTTTAAAGGACTGTGGAAGGGATCACTTGCCCTGGTGGGCTGGTCAGAACCCAGGAACTCAGTCAACAACAGTTCTTTCTTTGATGACTTTACTGTGCTATGGCGCATGTAATAGGTATGGTCTGTACAAAGAGAACAAAAACAATAAAGTGAATAATACAAACTTCAATATTACTGGAAATAAATGAAATGCTACAGCTCAATGGATTACCATATTAGCATCTGAATAGGCCATTTAACCACAATCTTCATTAACACACTTATACTTGCAATTCTCAATAGACAGATGAACTATCTCAACGTAGAACATGAGAACAGTAGAAATAAAGCGATTATAGAATTTCACGGCAGATATACATAACGTGCATGTAAACAGGAGCTGGTTATGCACGCTCAATCAATCGAAAATAATTACCATAGCTGCAAATGCCGGCAAGATTACAACTTAATCTCAATATTAAGCATAATTTAACAAGAACAACTCACTTTACAGGATGCACGCACACATATTACACCTGGATTTGGATCGGCTCGCATCTCTTCTCTCAAACTTTGCTGCGCAATCTTAAAATGGCGACAAGTCTTAAAAGGGCAACAACTCTTAAAAGGGCAACAAGTCTTAAAGGGGCCACGCACGCAAGCCGTTCTCTTCCGGTACTGTTTGGGCCCCAATAGTCGCAGATAGTGACATCTTGATGGACACTCCCACACTCCCCCAAAGTGTGGTGCTGCAGGAGGATTAAAACGGAATGCTATCTTCTGTGGTGTGAGTTTTCGCTGGAGATCAGGTGACATGGCTTGGAATGCTTCGCACAGTTCCCGTTCCCCACCTCGGAAATTTGTTCCTTGGTCCGACAGTAATTCTACTGGGGAACCTCTACGTGCAATAAACCTCCGAAGTGACATCAGAAATGAATCGGTGTCCAAGCTGTTCAGCAGGTCTATGTGTACGGCTCGGGTGGTAAGACACTTGTAGAGGATTCCCCACCTCTTTTCTACTCGTCGACCAATCTTTACTAGAAAGGGGCCCTATCTTCTGTGGTGCGAGTTTTCGCTGGAGATCAGGTGACATGGCTTGGAATGCTTCGCACAGTTCCCGTTCCCCACCTCGGAAATCTGTTCCTTGGTCCGACAGTAATTCTACTGGGGAACCTCTACGTGCAATAAACCTCCGAAGTGACATCAGAAATGAATCGGTGTCCAAGCTGTTCAGCAGGTCTATGTGTACGGCTCGTGTGGTAAGACACTTGTAGAGGATTCCCCACCTCTTTTCTACTCGTCGACCAATCTTTACTAGAAAGGGGCCGAAGCAATCCATGCCGGTTGAATGAAAGGCTGGCTTGTAGAAGCGCAAGCGTGCCAAAGGAAGATCTGCCATTTTGGGAAAGGTAGGTTTGGCTCTCAGCCTTTGACATTCCGTACAGGCATGCTGTAATATGCGGATGGCCGCTCTTCCTCTTAGCACCCAGAACTGTCTCCTTATTTCTGCAAACACCCGATCAGGGCCTGGATGGCAGAGTCTTTCATCAAAATCAAGCGCAAGCGTGCCAAAGGAAGGTCTGCCATTTTGGGAAAGGTAGGTTTGGCTCTCAGCCTTTAACATTCCGTACAGGCATGCTGTAATATGCGGATGGCCGCTCTTCCTCTTAGCACCCAGAACTGTCTCCTTATTTCTGCAAACACCCGATCAGGGCCTGGATGGCAGAGTCTTTCATCAAAATCTTGAAGAATTAATTTCACAGCTGGATGTCTAGAGTCTAGTACGATTGGATGTTTCAGGTTGGGATTTAAGGTCTCTGCATGTCTTAACCTACCACCAACCCGGATTAGATTGGTGGATGTGTCATATTCTGGAGTTAAGGTGAGTAAGCGGCTATTATGTTGAAGAGCCTTGCCTGATTTCAACCGTTGTAATTCCCCAGGGAAACTCTCACTTTGCACCTTCTGGAGTATGTACATCTCTGCTGTCTGGTAAGTGTTTGCTGTAGGTTCTCCTGATTCTCCAGCCGCCCCATGTAGCTCCTGTGCAATGGCCTTCACCAGTTCTGTCCAGGTCTTGTACTCACTGCCAAATTGTCGGTCTACAGCTACAACTCCACAGAATGCAGATTTCTTGAGCTCAGACTTGTCGATCTCGGGGCACTCTGTAGGGTTTGTTGGCCAGTTCTCTGAGGAAAGAAGCAGGAATGGGGGCCCTTGACTCCATCTGTTGGGCTTAGCAAGGTCCTTTAGAGTCTTTCCTCGTGTAAGGTCGTCCGCTGGATTTTGAACTGAATTCACGTAACGCCAGTTAGTGGTGTTGGTAAGCTCGTGGATTTCAGCCACTCTGGTACCGACGAAAACTTTGAAATGGCAAGACTCTGACTGAATCCAAGACAGCACTGTAGTGGAGTCTGTCCAGAGAACTGCGTGGCGAAGTGGCAATGTTAACTCTTTCTGCAACTGGGTTTTTAGCTGTGCACCAATTACTGCAGCACAGAGCTCCAAGCGGGGTATTGACAGGACTCTTTTTGGTGCTACTCTAGAGCGTGCCAGTACGAATGACAGATGGATCTTACCCAGCTGATCTTCAGTGCGCACTGGGCTTAGCAAGGTCCTTTAGAGTCTTTCCTCGTGTAAGGTCGTCCGCTGGATTTTGAACTGAATTCACGTAACGCCAGTTAGTGGTGTTGGTAAGCTCGCGGATTTCAGCCACTCTGGTACCGACGAAAACTTTGAAATGGCAAGACTCTGACTGAATCCAAGACAGCACTGTAGTGGAGTCTGTCCAGAGAACTGCGTGGCGAAGTGGCAATGTTAACTCTTTCTGCAACTGGGTTTTTAGCTGTGCACCGCGAACTGTTTTGGCTTCCAATAGTTCAACAGCCCTTTGGTTCTGTTTTGACCTGGTGCACTCCCTTTCATTCTGAAAGGGCAAAACATCCACTTGCCACAGCCTATTAACATTCTTGAACAGTTCTGTGGTGCTGGGGGGAAGGGATATGTAGAGACACTCTTTTGGCTTAAGTTGCTGCTCCAACAGGCTGGTAGGGCCCTGCAATGTCCAGCCTAGTTTGGTTCTTATTGCAGCGGGACCACCCCGTGGACCAAGTCTTACTGGTTCAATTGGTGAGATCATGTGAGTTTGATCTGCACCAACAAGGATGAGAGGTTTAGCCTTTTCGAAGCACTGTAATGGTAGTCCAGCCAAGTGTTTGTACTGCTTCTGCAGCTTGGAAATTGGGTACGAGTGGTCAATGAGATCAAGCTGTGGCGCAGTAAAGGCTCTGGATATGAGATATCGCTTCTTCGGATTGGAGTATGGAGAAATGTGGAATGAGACTGAAACCCCCTTAAGGGTTTGCACATCATAACGGATTGTTCTCAGAGCTAAGCTTTCTACAGTACCTCTCAAGCCAAGTTTCTGTGCTGCTTCTGGCAGAAGCATTGTACGCTCAGAACCGTCATCCAGGATTGCGAATGTGTCTAATGTGCAATTGCCATGATGTAGGAGTACTCTGACAACCTTGAGCAAAACTTTATTACTGCTGACTGGTTTGTTCAGGTACAGTGTCTGTGTCGCTGAGCTGACTAAGCAAACCTCGGTTTTGGATGCATCTTTGACCGGCCTCTCATTTACTTCATGGAGGATTCGTAGATGCTTCCTCTGACAAAGTGGACATGGTTTCTTTAGACCACAATGGGCAGCTTGATGGCCAAGACCACAACGCCAGCATCTCCTATTGGCTCGTATCCACTCTGAGAGCTGATCTTTGGTAAGGGTTGGAATTTTGGGGCACTGACTGAAAGCATGTTCGGAGTTCTGACAGTAAGAGCAATATATCATGGGCCTACCTTTAGCTTTCTCATCAACGTTTGCAGGAGAATACGCAGTGGCTCTCCCATCAGCCCTATTTCCAGACCCAGTCAGTACAGTGGCAGTGGTTCGGCATGTTCGTGGAGCTACTCTGGGATCTCGTTTGGCTCGGCTTTCTCCCTTGGCAGTTTGATCATCATAGCTTTGGCACCAAGACTCATATTTCAGCCATTCTGCCAGATCTACCAATGAGTATGTCACCCCAGGCCGATGTAACATGTGGCGGCGGAAATCGGCCCGTCTTTCAGGTGGCAGCTTATTGAGGAGGCATGCAACATGCGACCCACAATGCAACTCCATGCTCCCTGCCTGGTTCAAAGTCTTAAGCAGACCGACTAAAGACTGCACTTGAAGAGAGAACTTCTCAAAGGCTGAGGGGTCATTGCGGCTTATATCAGGTGAATCAAGAATAGTGGCAATCCGTCTTAATGCTACCTGGTGGGGCTGACCGAACCGCTCAATGAGGGCCAACATGGTGTCTCGGTAAGGTGTAGGGGAGTGCAAGAAGGAGTCTGCTATTAGACAAGCATCGTCTAATTTCAGGTGGTCAACCAGTACTTGATACTTGAACATCTCAGTACTATCAGGTGGCAGAAGATTGTCCAAGGCTATTTTTAATCGAGCAAACTCACTTGGATCTTTGGTACGGAAGTAAGGAATGGTGGGGGATGGACCTTTGTAATATTTCTCTGTCAGATCCACAGATGCCACAGGAGGTGACACATTATAGGAAGCCCTCCTGTGTTGTTCAGGATAAAGATGTCCTGGTGGTGCATACGGAGGATCTATCTGTCGGGCAGGATACTGGCCATACCTGAGCTGGTTATCATACGTACTTGGATAGCTGAAATCCCTAGTCTGCTCAACTGAAGTGAGTCTAGGGGTAAGTGTCGGTGTGGCCCTTGTAGTGCTGTATAACATTTGCTTGCCGCACTGATTAATATTTTCTGGCTCATCGTATGCAATAGGTGGAGGAGGCTCTGGCCAGCCTTCATCACCCGCATCTGCTGCATGGTGAAATTTAACGGATGGATGGTCAGACCGGGTGTTGGACATAGATAAAGGCCTTTGCAGACTACAGGCTCTGTCTAAAAGCTGAATCAGCTCATCTTTGGCTGTCTCAATCCGTTTAAGGTCAGCTTGTATGGCCTGCTGTGTTTCACGAAGCTTTAAATTCTCCTCCGAGATCCTTTGTAACTTTAGGGAGCTAACATCTGATCTATCGCTCTGGTATCCATCAACTTCATCACCAAGGGGAACGAACTCTGCATTGGATTCAAACTGTAGTTCTCGGTTTGGATATTGTGGTGATGTCTGGTGGGCAGGACTGGAAATGTGCTGCTGCAGAAGACTTGGACGGTCACGATGCTTATCCCTGACTGTCAGCCTCGAAGGAGAAGAAAAGATATGTAAACTGTGCTCTCTCTTAGGCTTTGCAGCAGATGCTCCAAACTGTGATGAAGAGTAATCGTCATCGGATGACTCCACCGGTTGTTCTCTCGTACTAACTGGTGACGCTGATTTACGGAAGCTCTGCAAGCCCACCTCATAGTCTTGTAAATAGGCTGGACGACGCTTTGGGCGAACCGAGGGATTTACTGGTTCAGAACTGACTGACATCTTAATCCAGAGAAGTGATCATCCGGCTCGAAGGACCATTTGTAGGATTTGGAAATTTTGCATCTATCTTTAAAGGACTGTGGAAGGGATCACTTGCCCTGGTGGGCTGGTCAGAACCCAGGAACTCAGTCAACAACAGTTCTTTCTTTGATGACTTTACTGTGCTATGGCACATGTAATAGGCATGGTCTGTACAAAGAGAACAAATACAATAAAGTGAATAATACAAACTTCAAATCCAATAATTTGACATTATCAATATTACTGGAAATAAATGAAATGCTACAGCTCAATGGATTACCATATTAGCATCTGAATAGGCCATTTAACCACAATCTTCATTAACACACTTATACTTGCAATTCTCAATAGACAGATGAACTATCGCAATGTAGAACATGAGAACAGTAGAAATAAAGCGATTATAGAATTTCACGGCAGATATACATAACGTGCATGTAAACAGGAGCTGGTTATGCACGCTCAATCAATCGAAAATAATTACCATAGCTGCAAATGCCGGCAAGATTACAACTTAATCTCAATATTAAGCATAATTTAACAAGAACAACTCACTTTACAGGATGCACGCACACATATTACACCTGGATTTGGATCGGCACGCATCTCTTCTCTCAAACTTTGCTGCGCAATCTTAAAATGGCGACAAGTCTTAAAAGGGCAACAACTCTTAAAAGGGCAACAAGTCTTAAAGGGGCCACGCACGCAAGCCGTTTGTACAACGTTACTAATATTTGGGGACAAATAAAATCAGTTCCCTTGATTTTGGCAAATGCCTGTTTTGCTTGGAAAAATGTCACATTATTTAATATAAGACAATATATTAGAGATTTTCTAACATTTGTTCCTATATGGCTGTAATCTCCATCCCGTGATTGGCTGTGCTCTCTGGAGACGTTCCTCAGGGAACATAGCTCACATAGCCCACAAGAGAATCTTAGGTTAGACCAACCTGAGCTGTGGAGCCATGCCTCACTAAACTTTTAATAAGCACTTGTATTTTTATTTATTTTTTATAGATCTGAGCTGAATTATACATTGTTGCTTTCAGAAGAGAAGTGAACTGAGCTGGATGATGACATCACTGAATCATCAATGAACTGACTTCAACTGAAAAATTGAATGATTTCTATTGTTCTCTTGCATTATTGACACACTAGTTTCCTGTTTAATGCTGTGAAGCTGCTTTGACACAATCTATATTGTATAAAACACTATATAAATAAAGGTGACTTTTTTAAATAAAAAAATAAAGGTGACATAGCACATAGACGTTTAACACCAGACAGGAAACTAGGGGCAGAACACACTTTAAATACTGAACTAAATGAGGAAATTAACGAGACACACCTAAAATCAAAGAGACAATCAAACAAGGGAGAAACTAGAGCCGTTTCTCAATATGCGTTCTTGTCTGTACTTGTGTTCTTGTGGATTTGTGAAACGTCATCAGCCGTCGCCCAAGTACTGTTCCAATTCAAAGTTCACATCTAGCCAAGTACAGTTCAAATCCCCGGATGTGTTCTTGCTCCGCCCCTTTTAACGAGGATGCATCCAGAGGTGACTTGTGCGAACTTGAGGCAGCCAGGTATCCCAGAATGCATTTCGCACCAACCAGCGAGCCTTAATGGCGGAGGAGAAAACCTGCATAATTTTCTAAATATTACTGTTATTGTGTCATGAAATGCTGTTCTAAGAGAATTTCAGGCGAGAATGTAGTTGTTTAAAACTCAAATATGCAGTTTATTTATAAAGATAGCGCCTATTTGAAAATGTGCTTCGCCGATTTTGGAGACCTGAGCTCCACACGATCACCAGGCGCTCAGTGCTCATGTATCCGCAGAGAGCAGTCTCACCTCGGTTGATCCTTCTGACATTTGCCGCTGGCTCTGATGCCTCTGTAGTGGTTAAACATGAGGTAAAATTCGTTTTGGGTAAATCTAACAGGCAATATTTGGTCTCATGACTCTATTATTTCTTCCAGGTCATATCGTTTTGGCTGAGCAGAAAGTTATGTTTAATAAATTATTTATTTATTAATCGTAATACAACGCTGACTTTGTTTGCCGAATTGTTTGCTTTTGTCTTTATTCCTATTACACAAGTCTCTTATACTTTATACTTATTCTTTTATAATGGCTATTATTGTTCATTAAAACTGACATTTAACAAAAAAGGCAGAGTTGTGCTTGCTATATTTAATTTTATAGGCTATACAGTGGAGATAATCAGAGTATATGTGCACATATTACCTAAACCATATATTAATATGTTTTATATTTTTAGAATGAAAACGAAATGAGGGATGTGTTTTATATTTTGAAGAAAACGTCAAGGCAGTGGTGTTTGATATCATTTAGTTTTATTGTAATGCGTGTAGGCATTGCATGAACCACATTTTTGTGAGCCTATTAATATTTTAAATGAAACTGAAAAGAGGCAATGCTGTTTGATATAATATTTTGTTTCACTTTATGTACGTTCCCCAAACTAAATGTTTGCGGCTATTAATATGTTTAAAAGAAAACGAAATGAGGCAGTGGTGTTTGATATCATATTTCGTCGTATTGCATACATAGTGAGGAAAACCGGAGTAAGGCGAGCTGACTGACGTTATCAAGTACGCTGCTGTTCCATTTTCAGAATTACCAGACTTGTGTCCTCCCGTCCTCAGGAGTTCCCTTTCACTCTCGACATCATGTCGGATGACCGACGAATTGGGATCTCGCTTAGAGAGACCAATCTACTTCGAGTGTAAACTAAACGAGCCAATGCACATTGGCATGCGATTATTGCATCCAGCTGCCGCTGATCACAGCGTGAGTATAAGTAGGCAGCAGATGCAACGCTTTTTCGCTTCGGAGCCGAGCAGTTCTATCGTTCTGCTCCTGACCTTCTGCTAAGAGAAAGCTACAGTCAAGCACTCTCTTCGTGGGCTCTCGTGCTGGTGGTACGGCGCTTCAGCGGCGGTGGTTTCCCATGTCGAGTGGGTTGCACACATCAGGCTGCACTACCCCCTGTGTGTGTTGCAGACGGCCATCTCCCCTGTGCGCTTCAGCACACTAAAAGAGCAATTTCTATCTAAAAGAGCTTCACGGGTGGAACGTCTTTTTAAGGACGCGTCTTTTTAAAGATGTCTTACCATCGGTGTGTTTCTGGGTGCGGTCATTACCTGGCGCCGGGTGACGGTCACGATCGCTGCCTCTCGTGTCTGGGCATGAAGCACGCTGAGGGGCTTTCGTGGATGACTCATGCTCCCATTGCGGGGGTATGACCATCTCAGAGTTGCGGACCAGACTCCGTTACCTGCAAGGGCCGGAGTGCCCGTGCCACTGCCTAGATCTGGGGTTCCCTCTGGTGGCAGCCGGGGGCGCCCTTTTTTCTGTCAGTTGATGGAATGTGGATGGAATCTTCCACCGCGTCCCGAACCCTCAAGGTTGGATGATTGGTTTCTCGGGGTGGCTCGCGCTGGTTCTCAAGGCCCCACCCCACTGCCTTTCTTCCCGGAGGTGCATGATGAGATCACTGGCTCCCCTCCCGGGCCTGTAGGTACTCGTCGGCTCTGATCAGCAGTGCTTATACGGCCTGTGGAGAAGCTGCGTCCGCCTTACACGCTTCGGCGTTGTTGCAAGTGCACCAGGCCAAGGCACTGAGGGACTTGCACGAGGGTGGTCACGACCCGGAAGTTCTCAAGGAACTCCGCACTTGCGATGGACCTCACGCTACGAGCGACGAAGGTCACGGCGCGGTCTCTGGGTCATGCGATGTCCACTATGGGGGTCAAGGAGCGCCATCTCTGGCTGTGTCTGGCCGATATGCGCGAGACGGACAAGACACCGTTCTTGAACGCCCCCGTGTCCCAGACCGGTCTTTTCGGCAACACGGTGGAGAACTTCGCCCAGCAGTTCTCCGCTGCCCAAATGCAGACTGAGGCCATCAGGTACATCCTGCCCCGGCGTGCAGCTGCTGCCTCCACCCGGTCGCCGGTGGCAGCGCCTCAGCCCGCTGGTCGCCGAGGATGGCCCCCGACCACCGCCCCCGCTCCTGCGCAACGTCCGCAGCAGCCTCCAGCAAAGCTGCGCCGTGGAGCCGGTCGCAGGGCAGCCGTGAAAAGTTACGGAGGCAGCCCTTGTTCCCATGAGAGAACGGGGCATTCGCATTCTCAACTACCTCGATGATTGGCTCATACTCGCTCAGTCTCAGGATCAGTTGTGCGAACACAGGGATTTGGTACTTTCACACCTCAGCCTGTTGGGCCTTCGGGTCAACTGGGAAAAGAGCAAACTCTCCCCGACGTAGAGAATTTCTTTTCTCGGTATGGAGTTGGACTCGGTCGAACAGACAGCACGCCTCACGCAGGAACGTGCTCAGTCGGTGTTGAACTGCTTGAATACATTCAAGAGCAGGATGGCAGTCACACTGAAACAGTTTCAGAGTCTCCTGGGGCATATGGCAGCTACGGCGGCAGTCACGCCGCTGGGGCTGCTCCATATGAGACCTCTGCAGCACTGGCTCCATGGCTGAGTCCCGAGGTGGGCGTGGCAACGCAGCACTTTCCGGGTCCAAGTTACACCGGCCTGCCGCCAAACCTTCACCCCGTGGTCAGACCTTGCGGTTCTCCGGGCAGGAGTGCCCCTAGAGCAGGTCTCCAGGCATGCTGTGGTTTGCACGGATGCCTCAACCATCGGCTGCAGTGTACAACGGGCTTGCAGTGTCAGGGGTTTGGACGGGGCCCCAACTGCACTGGCACATCAACTGCCTCGAGTTGCTGGCAGTGCACCTTGCCCTGAGCCGTCTCAAAGGGCGCTTACGAGGCAAGCATGTACTAGTCCGCACGGACAACACAGCGACCGTTGCGTACATCAACCAACAAGGTGGTCTGCGCTCCCGTCGCATGTTGCAACTCGCCCGCCACCTCCTCCTCTGGAATCAGAAGCATCTGAGGTCGCTTCGTGCTCTTCACATTCCTGGGCTGCTCAACCGGGCAGCCGACGAGCTGTCTCGAGCTGTGCTCCCGGGAGAATGTGACGTGACGATGTGACGTGATGTGATGTGATGTGACATGACATGTGGCCAAGTATGGTGACCCATACTCGGAATTAGTGCTCTGCATTTACCCATCCAAAGTGCACACACACAGCAGTGAACACACACACACCGTGAACACACACCCAGAGCAGTGGCGACTCCATCCCCAGATGGTCCAGCTGGTTTGGA